TCCCCTGGGGTTGGGGTATTCACAGTTCTCACTCCTCTTGGGAGAGGGTTCACACAACCGCTTCTCCCCCCACACTTTTCTTCTATATTTTTAGCGCTACGGTCTGCCCCCCTCCCTCAATTCTTGGCCTGGCAAATCACAACCCCGCCTGCCTGTTTGGAGCCTTCCTACAACCCCCCCCCCCCCCCCCCCCAAGCTAGAGCTCGCCCGATCTCTCTCGCTGTATCCTAGTTCGGGACAATTCTTGTCCCGCTCTATCCAAGCAGAAGTAACTGAGTTTACAGAGGAAGAAAAACAGGGTTCTGGTAAGGTCCCGCTGTACCCAAGCAGAAGTACCTGAGGTTACATAGGAAGAAAAACGGGGTTCTGGTAAGGTCCCGCTCTATCCAAGCAGAAGTACCTGAGTTTACATAGGAAGAAAAACAGGGTTCTGGTAAGGTCCCGCTGTAGGGATGCTCCCCCTGTAGTCATGTTCTACTCTATTTTAAAAATATTTTTACATGTATTATATTGGTGAATTAAAAAAAAAAAACTGTTCTAAGATTGTATTGCGATATATTTATCTTTTCATGTGATTACGATTTAATAAAGATTTACTGTTTTGTTTGGATTTTAAAAAAATAAAAATTACCATGCATTCTGTTTTCTTCCTATTTTATATCCCCTTATTTCACCACCCACTTCAACATTACCGGGTATTTCCAGAAGCAGCTGAAGGTCCTTTTCTGAATGTGCGATATTAATTAATTAAAACTGTGTCTTTGGCATACCTGGTTATTATATATATTACGAGTTGTATTTTCTCAATCAATGCACTCTCAGACCAGATCTTTCTTCTCAATATATTTCTAAGGGACACAATGCCCATCTTTCACTCCCTGGCCTGTGCAGACATACGAGCGCTGTGGACTTTTCTCTTTCTTCGCGCCTTTAATCCAAGAATAATTCACGTCGAGAACTTGAGTTTTGCTTGTTTGCTTGAATAAAGACAGGCACGAGGACACAATAATGAACTACAGGGTGATCCCAAAAAAAAACTTTACAACTTTTTTTCCGAATATCTTGCGCAAAAATTGTTCTAGAATGCTGTAATTTGGAACAGACATAATTCTTTCAAAAGGAATTTGTTTGATATAAAATCCACGAAGAAGAAACATGTTTTGAAAACGGAAACGCCTAAAAGAAAAAAGCACCCAAAAACGCAAAGTTCACCACTGTTTAAAAATCTTGTAAAGGATGTCGTGAAAAGAATAGTTGACCTTTTTCTTTATTTTCTCTTTGACATTAATTTTCCATCCCTGTGACATTTAATTGATTTAAATTTAAACAATATTTAATTTCTTTTACAGAGTTTTAAAAACCTAATGATTTCATTTTGAAATTCCTAGAAGCAGTGCTCCACATTCCCTCCTTTGGACTCGACACATTTTTAACGCGCCGTTCGAAATGTTCAGTGGCGCCCTAACATAAGGGCCTGCTAAACCATGAGTTTTTAAAGCCACATATACTGTACATGTTCACTAAGAAGTGGCTTCTAGAGGCAACAGATTGGGGTGCCCAATAGACTGCATTTTTGGAGTTAACATATCCCGCAGGGTGAAAATGGGCTTTGTACTAAACCAAATGTCACCGAAGAAATGATCCCTCTTTACAAGACAATCGAGGAATCATGAACACTTTGCCATGCTCTGATCCATGTCATCTCGGCCTAGCGAAGATGAACATGGAATAGTCGAAGGTTAAGATCTACCATGAGAATGCAGACTGTTGATGTGTAGGAAAGTCCTAGCTGCAGACAAAAGATAATGTTCAATACAAAAAGCTCTCTGCTCTTGACTAAACGTAGCCATGATCTCAGCAGGCAAAAAAAATTTGGGAAAAATAATATCTGCAGATTTCTGTTGACTTGCATTGTTAGTATGTTAGACTGCTGTAGCTTGCAATATGGCGCGACTGTTGCAACTTTTAGTGGTAGGCCTAATGCAAACTGGTGCGTCATGCTATGAAAATGGCGACAAGGTTGAAAATGGGTTGTTTTTTTAATGCACTATAGTGTATAGAGCAAAACCATTCAATGGACTTATCTAAAATACATATCAGACAAATGCCTTTTGGCTTCCAAACGCTATGTTCAAATCTGAAACGCAAAACTTCAGTGTGGAGGAAGATATAAATTTACAAAACAAGTTGTAAAGTTTTTTTTGGATCACCCTGTATGTCATTTTGTCATTTTTAGTGCTGGAAAAAGTAAGACAGACAGACAGAAACAACAGAGGCAAAGGAAAGAAGTATCCCCCCCCCCCCCCCCCCCCCCGGGTGGTGCCACTGACTGAAGTGTCTTTAGGCCTTTCCCAAAGGGGGGACATTAACATGTTCTTATACACATTAGAATTGGTAAACGGGCTGATTTATCAACGTCATGCTTATTATACTATGTAGGCCTACTGTGCTGGAACAACATAGGGGGATATGCTGCTTTTTCTTTCCTCATCCTTACTATCGTAATTTTTTCCTCTACTTCTTTTGTATGTTTGTCACTCTCTTGTGCACTGCTTTTTCCGGGGTGCCTTGATAGTCGAAGCAGACTTTGTGCTGTAGAGGCTAGAGAGGTGAGTAGAGTAAGCCTGATTCCCTGTTTGGACTTCTCTGTTGACATCCACCCCTTGGGCGCTCATAATACATATGACCTTATGCAGTTGCGAGCGCTGTAAAACCTTTCTGAAATGAAAGTCAAAGTTAAACTAAAAAAACTAAGGAAAGAAGTAGGGCCTACGGGAGGCATCCTCCAACCACATGCTGTGAATTGTGAACTGAACAGATAGGTGACGGGAAAAGACTGGAATAATAGTCAATAATACTAATATGTTCACGGTTTGTAGGATAGTATGTTTTTAGTTTTAGGTGTTTTACAGCACTTGCAACACAATAAGGTCATACCGTATTTGTGCTGAACATTAGAAGAGCTGTTACAAGAGAGTCACAAACACAAAAAAGAAGGAGAGATCAGGACGATGGATGTTTGATAGGAAAGAAGGAGAGATCAGGACGATAGATGTTTGATAGGAAAGAAGGAGAGATCAGGACGATAGATGTTTGATAGGAAAGGAGAGATCAGGACGATAGACGTTTGATAGGAAAGGAGAGATCAGGACGATAGATGTTTGATAGGAAAGGAGAGATCAGGACGATAGATGTTTGATAAGAAAGAAGGAGAGATCAGGACGATAGATGTTTGATAGGAAAGAAGGAGTCTTTATGTTAGGCCTGGGTGTTTGAACACCCTCCCCTACACCATATCGATCATTCAGGAGGCGGCTTTCTCACCCTGCCCGTCTTTGGTTTTGTTTCAGTGTACAAAAAGTCTGCTTCGACTATCAAGGCACCCGGGAAATAGCGGTTCATAAGACAGAGACGAAACATACAAAAGAAGTAGAGGAAAAAATGACGATATGATAGTATGGATGAGGAAAGAAAAGCAGCAGTTCCCCCTATGTTGTTCTAGCACAGTATGATGAGCATGACATTGATAAATCAGCCCATTTACAATTCTACTGTGCATAAGAACATGTTAATATCTCCCTTTTAGGAATGGCCTAATTAAAGACACTTCAGTCAGAAGCACCGCCCTGGTTGGGGAGGGGGGGGAGGAACCTGCCTGTCTGGATGGAAAGGGATACAATATCCCAGCAGAAAGACCAAGATACTTGACAAAAATTGTCCTCATTTGGAAATCAAACTGGGATCTCCTGCGGGCATCAGCAAAGCCCCTAACCAGAACACCACAGACGCCGATCTATCTCAGATTATACTTTGTCATGTATATTGACTGAACCCCCGCCTCACTGCCACCCCGATCTATCTCATAAATACTTTGTCATGTATATTGACTGAACCCCAGCCTCACTGCCACCCCGATTTTTTAAGGTCACTTCTCTCTCAGTCTCTGTGGATATTTTTGTATGAGAGAAAATGTAGAAGAGTATGGATTAAGAAAAACACCAAACAAGATTAGAATTAAGAATACCCAAAGTGAATATCTCATTACACAACAAGCAGAAGAGAAGGATTTTTTCCTACAATTTATTTACATAAAAACCAGCAGAAAGTCAGCAAGCTGTTTACATGTACTGAGCCCAGAAAGAAACATTTCTCAGCCAATAGAAAAACAGAAAACTGTTTCGTTCCTTTAGAGGGATTTTACCTTCATCAGGCTAATGACAATGTGATTTACAGCAAAAAAATTATTCAGTACATTCAACCCATACCACTGATTTAACCCTATCCGTAGCCCTGGGGTCATTTTGTACCCCCCGGGGTTGTATTCTTCACATTTTTGAATGCTTCTAGTACGAAGATCTCTTTGACTTTGAAACTTTCAATATTTCTCAAAAAAATCATTTTGACAGACTGCTATGCAAAGTGTACGGATCGGATTAACGAGTAAATTTCCTCTTTGGAAAGTGGCGGCACAGAGTTCCCCACGTTGTATGGATACGATAGTAAAACTTGACGTACGGATAGGGTTAAGAAACTGCAATTTTTATTTTTTAATTAAAAATTTTGGACTTAATGAATGTGAACAGAAGGCCGACTGATGATACACGAGCTCATTCTTCATGGATCCCAGCCTGACGATACACGAGCTTATTCTTCATGGATCCCACCCTGACGATACACGAGCTCATTCTTCACGGACCCCACCCTGACGATACACGAGCTCATTCTTCACGGACCCCACCCTGACGATACACGAGCTCATTCTTCACGGATCCCACCCTGACGATACACGAGCTCATTCTTCACGGATCCCACCCTGATGATACACGAGCTCATTCTTCACGGATCCCACCCTGACGATACACGAGCTCATTCTTCACGGATCCCACCCTGACGATACACGAGCTCATTCTTCATGGATCCCACCCTGACGATACACGAGCTCATTCTTCACGGATCCCACCAAAGTCTATTTGCTCTTTTTCCCCTTGCCCTTGGACTTGGCAAACAGCCACGGATCAATCTCCTCTGTGGACAAACCGCGCACGGAGAAAAGCCTGGCCGCCCGTTCCTCCAGTGTGCCCCCACACTTGATCCCTCGCGACATGAGAGCACATTTCAAACGCTCCAGACCCAACGCTGCAAGCTCCTTCTCGCTGGCGTAAAGTTCAAGGTCAACAGGTGTGTTAGGGTCAACTGTTTCCGCGGGGTCGGCAACGGTAGCGGGCGAGGCGAGGTCGCCGGGTTTTCTATCGGCAACGTTGGGGGAGGAGGACGGTGGGGGTAACTGGGACAGAAGAGAGTGGGGGTGTGGCTTGTCCTCACTTCCTCCATCGCCACCATCAGGTTCTGTTTTCACTTCTGCCACAGGTGGTGGAGAGTTTGAGTCCGAAGAACCAGCGATGTGATCTGAACCCAACACAGGACTTTGCTGGAGAGAGGCGGGGTCGCCGTGTTCTGAGGTGCTGGAAGAGACCCGAGATGCGGCCGACGAGTTCTCCCCTGGCTCAGACTTCACCTCCACGGGAGCGACCTTGGACGTAGACGCGCCGTTGTCGAGGCTGGGACTGCCAGGACGGGCCTCCGTGTCCGACTCACTGTCAAGGTCATCCGAATCTATGTCCATACCAAGCCTGCATGAAAGGAAACCAAAACTGAATTTTATATATATATATATACTATAATATATATATAGATCTAAGTAAATGACAAAACAAAAATTCATTAACCCATGAAGAAAACCAAACTGTTTAGATTAAAAAAAAAAATACACCCCCATCAACACAATTTAGATCACTTAGGGGGCGGGCTTCCTACCCTGCTTGTAAGGCCAACCCGTGCTGAGAGAGACACAAGATTTCTGAAAAAAAGACAAGACACTCCATAAAAACTCTCTGCACTCGGGAATCAAATTCGGGTTTCCAGCAAGCAGCAGCGAGGAGCCTTACTCTGACTGCTACACCACCTGATACCAGCAAGAAAACTGTCCTAAACGTAGCATCTGCGTTTGTAGCCGGTTTTTTGTGCAACAGTTGCAACAAAAAGTGGCAAAAGTTGCCCCTAAATTTCAAGCTTTCAACTCTCTGTGACGACGTAGCAATACGTTAATAGGGGTAACAATCTCAAGCACCAGAATTTCTTGTGCTCTGTTTTAAGCATCCAGAATATCATTTGTAGTCACCCAGAGTGTAAAAATGTGAAAAATAAAGATTTCACGACAGAATGAAATCAAAATTAGAAGAGCACGGATAAATAACCACCCAAAAAAAATTAGGGCGTGTGTCCACCTATCCGAAGATTGGCTGTTTTAACCCTAAACATGGGTCATTCTGGCCCCGCAGAATTATGCGATTGTGCGGCCGCATTTTTTCGCATAATTCTGCAACATTTGCATAATTTTGGATTCCCCACGTTTTCCCCCCATTTTTTTTCACAAAACAATTAATTAACGCCTCGCCATGTGACTAACGGGACGTAATCACCGTAATAAGTCTCATTTAAGTGAAAAGTTGGTTATTTCCCTTGGTAGAAGATCTTGGTTATGGGTTGGGATTTTGTTCCCTGAGCATGTTCAATTTTTCATTCCATCAAAAGTTTTTGTTCTCATGTCTGCTGATGTTTCATGTTTGCCAGGTGTCCCTGGTTTTAGTGATGTGCCAGCATCAGACGTACAGATGTTCTTTTTTTTTTTTTTTTTTTTTTACATTTTTCTTTCCTCTCTATAGAGATCTAGATCTAGATATCTACAGCTGAAAGTTACAGAGATTATATTTTTTTGGTTGTTTTTTTTCTGTCTGAAGTGTATTGTTTTCTTTCCAAATTACTAATTCAAGAAAAAGTAAACCTACAGGATATTACATTAAATTATGGAATCACAATAAATTGGGCCGCGCCCGTGTCAGTATTCGGTTCTGGTGGAGACACGCTCTAACATAACACATTTCTATTTTTAAAAGGGTAGGAACGGCATCAAATTCAATGGCATTACTCTGTATAAACACAAAAAAGAAATCATCAGAACAACTTTTAGAAAAATCAACACACCAACAAATTAAAACACAACAAAGAGGGAAAAATAAAAGGCAAACAGCAATAGTACGTAATGTCATGTACTTATTACTTATATTCTCCGCAGGAAAATAGATACACCTGGATGTCTCAAAACTTATCAAAATACATGTCTAATCTGTTATGAAGTAGCTTTGTTGTTTTGTCTTTTTTTCTTAATGCAAAAATCGCGGACCAAAAAATGCCAAAAACCGCGGCCGCGACAAACGCAGACGCTCGCTAAACAAGATTGAAATCCACCAACAGAAATATTTGGCCCTTTTCATTGATTCATCTGATAATTATCATACTCTCTGACCCTGGTTCAAATTTAAGACAGATGTGATGTTTCATTAAAAGTAAATAAAAGTTGTAGAATTATACACTGTATCATTAAATAAAAGTAGTAGAATTATACACTGTATCATTAAATAAAAGTTGTAGAAATATACACAGTATCATTAAATAAAAGTTGTAGAATTATACACTGTATCATTAAATAAAAGTTGTAGAATTATACCCTGTATCATTAAATAAAAGTTGTAGAATTATACACTGTATCATTAAATAAAAGTTGTAGAATTATACACTGTATCATTAAATAAAAGTTGTAGAATTCGGTGCCATAGCGTATGTAGACATGTAGACA